AACCCAAGCTCCCAGGCTATGGCCTACATGTAGGATGCCTGCCAACAGGTTTAGAAGCATCTCAAGCCCCAGGTGGGGTGGAGGATGTTTGCTGGTAGTAATGACACACAGATTTGGAATTGATTTGGCTGATTTGACTTGAAACGCAAAAACATTTCCAAAAAAAAACCCAACAAAAAGGTGTCTACCTTCCACCTTGCAACACAGTACCTTTCATGCCCTAGTTTAGGTGAAGCAATGTCTTGTATGATTTCAGAGTGCCCCTTGTGTCCCTTTTTAACTTTTGGAGGCTTTTGTTCCAAAATAGGAGTGAAGAAGCAAGCAAATATTAATTGCCGTGTTGAGGGCTGATATTTCCAACATTCATTAAACTATTAACCTCAGATAATTCCCTTCTTGCATCTTTGGACCCCACAAGGTGGATCTTGCACCTGTCCTTGAGCTGAATCTGGAGCCTGCGGTAAAAGACTTTAAAAAAAAAAAATCTTAACAGAACCTAAATCACAGCCCTGTTGTGGTAATGTGCTGGGCAGAGACATTGTATAAGACTGTCGCAGCCCTTACACACCAATTAGATGAGGGTGGGAAGGGAATTCAACACTTTTCCCATCAAATACACACATCTTGACATGTTGGGGTCACCTGCCAGGAGATCAAACAAAGCGACCGTCTCCAAGATGCAAAGCTTACTTCAAACGATGGCAACTCCCTTTTCACTGTAAGGCACACATAGCGGTGGTGAGACTTTTTATTTCTTTTGAACTCTTAGTGAATTCCTGCATTTATGTATTTAATGTTTAGATTTCTATTTCAAACTTTGATCTTGGGAAAAGACCCAGGACAAGAAGTAATAGACTTAAATCGCGTCAAGAGAGGTTTCTAGTGCATGTTAGGAAGAATTTTTTAACGGTGAGGGTGATTCAATGCTGTAGCATCTGACCCAGAGAGAGGAGGGAATCTCCAGCATTGGAGGTTTGTCAGTGCAATTTAGACAAATGCTGGGCCGAGGTGGTTTAAACTGGGTTGTTCCTCACTCTGGAGCAAGGGGTTGAACTAGGTGATCTCCTGAGGTCCCATTCAGCAATGACTTCTGTGAGAGAAAGGAATGGATCCTGTTTTAGAGCTAGAAAATTCTGTTGATGCTAATAACGTGAAATTAATAATTAATACAATTCTGTTGATGCCTCCCCAACTTATGGCTGAAGCAAACTTGTCAACTATTAATAGCACATATTAAGTCAATTAACTGAGAAACATCCTACTAAGGCATTTGCTGACATTCAGAGAGAGTGATCTGAGAGCACAGGCTGTTCGTTAGAGGATCCAGATTCCTCCAGCATATCTTTATGAAACAAGAGATCTATAAACTAGTAGGAACTTTACTGGCCAGTAAAAAACTATTGACTGTAAATCAACAGCTTCCATGGGTCGGGATGGAGGAGGGTTAATATTTCCATAAGCAGCTGTATTGTTTATGATTGTCCTTGTGATGCCTGCTGGTGGGAAAGCACGAGAACTTATCTACTTGGCCCTGGGAGCAGTTCTTGGGAGAAAGTGTGTAAGATAGTCTTTTGGCTCTGATCAAATCTATTGATGATCAACTGCGCACAGCAACTTACACCTGCAGAATCCCAAAGCTATGATGGTCACTTAAACATGGAGTTTTCAAACCATATTTAACCCAATAAATAGGTGAATGGGGGCTGGGAAAGAGCCATTCACTCACCCAACTAACATGAAATTATGGGAAAGGAGCAAGAATTCTTATTGTAAGAGAGATTGCAAGGGAAGCTGCTTGCTGCCTCTGGACATATATTGACTGAAAGAGCTTGATCCCTGAAGACCTCGCTGAAATCAATGGAAGGAGGATTGGGCCTGAGCTTGCACTATCTTTCTTTTGAATGCTTCAGACAGATCAGAATGAGTCTCTGGGAACTGTTCTTGCTAATTGTTTCATACGCTGCCTGCCTTATTTCAGGATAAATCCTCAAAACGCTGCCCAAGAGATTCCTCCTGGAAACCAGAAGGACCTGATGTGATGAGCACGCATTTGTGGGCAATGGAGGTGCCAGCTGTTGACAGGCTAACCCTGGGGGGACAAGGACTTCGCGGTGAAAACCTCTACCCTTAAAATCAAAAGGTATGCTGTTTACTTCTTCCAAACCACGCTTTACGCTGGAGTCAGGTGAGGGCTGTACCTCATTTCTACTCACGTGTGTGTGACTGTTTAAACAAACACAGTTGATTCCTCTTGTATTTGGCTTTCCTTAGTGGGAAGGAAGTTTGTGGAGAGTTTTGGAGCAGGGCTGTGGAAAGCTCATTGTAAATCTATCGGTGTGAATCCAAGTGAAGGATGCTCCTGATGCTCTCAAGTGTTGGAGCCAATACCAGGTGGCCTTATAAAACCAGCACATGCATAGGCTGAAGCACAGATTTTTCTGGCCAAGTAATAATCAGTACAGTTCAAATACTGCCTATTAGACAACCAGCCTGTCATACCATCACATTTTCCAATTAATCAGTTCTTGAGATAAGTTTAGAAAAAGATAAGCTGTTGGCAAACTTTGTGGCAACTTATTCACTGCCAGTTATTTACCTGGCTTTATTTTACAAGCACTTAAAATATGTGTCAGTCTGTTCCTGAGTCATAAATGACTAACACTTGGGAGGGATCTGTCTTTCTCAATTGTCAGTAGCCCCTCGATACGAGGGGGATGGTCATCCAGTAAATAGGGGAGTCATCGGTGAGTCCAGAGATGGCTGAAGAGGCCAATTCGGGATCTGGATGTTCAATGACATCTGCAAATCTTGTGACAAGGAAAGGGTGGGTGAGCACACTGGGTGCAAGATGCAGTGCCTGTTGGCAGCTGCTAAAACACTGGGTGCTCCTTACACAATTTTTCCTTTCAGCAAATGCCCCAGTGCTACAATAAGCTTCCTAGCTGAGCCTCCCCCTCCCATTGCCCAAAGCCTGTTCCCAAATCGCTGCCAATGTGCTCCTTCTGCATCTCGCTAGGTAATTCCTGGGCTTCTCTAAGGGTGCCAAGTCCAGACACCTTGAGTGAAGCAACAGCAGCAGAAATTAGATCCATCTCACTGAGCCAGACATGAGGGAGGCTATGTCTGAAAGGAAGTGGAGGTGCATTTATTATTAATTGGCCAGAAAAATCTGTGCTCCAGCCCATGTCTGCTGGTTCAGTAAGGCCACCTGGTATTGGCTCGGCCACTTGAACAGATCAGAAGCATCCTTCAGTTGGCTTTACGCCTTGGTTTCTTTTCCCACAGGATTAACAGCCTGGATAGGAAGACTTTGCTGGATGCAGCACGGTGAAGGTACCAGAGGGATGGATGGGGGCAGGGGCAGATTTGTGGGGTGCACTGGTGCACTTGCACCCCCCTTTGATTCCTGATCCACCCAAAGCTTCAAACCAACTGCCTGGCAGCGGCAGTGGCATTTCTAGTCAGGCAGTGTTGAGGGAGTCACTTGATTTACGGCTCATTGTAATCTACCTGGAGACAAACAGGTGATGTTTTATACTCGGTGATGCACCGCTCCATCTGCACCGCCGTTCTCAGACGTCTAGATCCACCCACGGGCGGGCACAGGGATTGTTCGGGGTGGGAACAGCAATGTGGAGTAGGTTGGCATCTGGACCAGAGACCCTAGGGCCCCGCAGGCTCCAGGTGCCAGGGCAGTCCGTGGTGCTTCTGTACCTCTTAGCCCTGGGATTGGGGATGAGGCACAAACTGCTCCTTCCCTCCCCTCCCAAGGCCCCTTCTTCCCTCCCTTCAGGCAGCAGCCTTGGAAGGGGGTGGGTTAAGACTGAAGAGTGCAGAGTGCAGCCCCAGCTCCCTGCTTTCCCCGGTTGCTGTGCGGGCTGCCAGCACATCCGGACCCTTCCAGCGAACCGGACTGGCCTTATCCCCCCCCCCAACACACACACACAGTGCTCCCCGAAGCTCACACACGCGCACAGGAGCCCCCGAAGCTGGGCGGGCTCACACACACTGAGGCACTCAAGGCTGGGAGTGCTCTTTCACGCACATGCGAGGCTGAGCAGACTTACACCCCGAGGCTGGGCATGCTCTCTTTCTCTCTCACACACACACACCCACCCCCAAGCTAGGTGTGCTGTCTCTGTCTTTCACTTACACTCACCCCCCCCCCCAGAGCTGGGTGTGCTCTCGCTCTCTGTCACACACACACACGCACACACGGCTGGGTGTGCTCTCTCTGTTTCACTCACACATACGCAGTCACACACACACCGGAGGCTGGGCACGTTCTCTCTCCCACACACACACATTTACACTCCCCCTTCCCCTGTGGCTGGGTGTGCTCTCTCTCCCTCACACTCACTTGCACTCCCCCCCCCCAGGCTGGG